CGCCGGGCCCCCACCAGGCAGACACACACACACACCCACACACACACACACACACACACACACACACACACGATGCCTGCACTGAGTCCCTGCTGCCAGACTGTGGCCATCAGTAGGACATCCACTGAGGGCTCCCGGACTGTGAGAGGGGCAGGCTGGGCTGAGGGAACCTCCACCCCCCCAGTGCACGAATTTCATGCAGCGGGCCTCTACTATATATATATACAAAAAAGATAGGACATAGCAATACAAAAATAAACACAAATTACCTTTCCATTACCTACTATAATCTCCAAGATCTCAATGTCCTATTGAATTTGTTAAAAGTAAATAGCCAAACTCATACCTAGTGGTTCTATATTGAGTAATTACATACTTACTAGAGGCCCAGTACACAAAATTCGTCCACGGTGGGGGAGGGGGGGGAAGGGGAGACTTGTCCCTCAGTCTGGCCTGTGCCCTCTCACAGTCCACTGCTGTGCTGTGCTCGCCAGCCATGAGCCCAACTTCTGGCTGAGTGGTGCTCCCCCTGTGGGAGCACACTGATTACAAGGGACAGCTCCTGTATTGAGCATTTGCACCCTGATGATCAGAGTGCATCATAGTGACCAGTTATTGTGCTGTAATGGTCAGTTAGGCTTTTATTATATAGACTAGAGGCCGAGTGCACAAAAATTTGTGCACTTGGGGGGGGGGGATCCCTCAGCCTGGCCTATGCCCTCTTGCAGTCTGGGACCCCTCGGAGGATGTCCACCTCCTGGCGTGGGCCCGCTCCCTGGGGGATTGGGCCCAAGCTGGCAGTCAGACATCCCTCTGGCAGCCCGGCAGCCCTCGGGGGATGTCCACTTACCAGCAGGGAGCAGACCTAAGCTGCAGTCGGACATCCTTAGTGCTGCTGAGGAAGTGGGAGAGGTTCCTGCCATCACTGCTGTGCTGGCAGCCATCAGCCTGGCTTGTGGCTAGCAGAGCTCCCCCTGTGGGAATGCACTGACCACCAGGGAACAGCTCCTGTACTGAGCATCTTCCCCCTAGTGGTCAGTGTGTGTCATAGTGACCAGTCATTCCCAGTCGTTCTGCTGTTAGGGTCAGTTTGCATATTACCCTTTCATTATATAGGATAGAGGCCTGGTGCATGGGTGGGGGCTGGTTGGTTTGCCCTGAAGGGTGTCCGGAACAGGGTGGGGGTCCTGCTGGGGTGCCTGGCCAGGCTGGGTGAGGGGCTGATGGCTGTTTGCAGGCTGGTCACACCTCCTTCAGGGTTGAGGTCCTCACTGGGGTGCCTGGCCAGCCTGGGTGAGGGGCTGATGGCTGTTTTCAGGCTGGCCAAGCCCCGCTGCGATGGAAGCTCCCAGTCTCTCCTTTTTCTATTTTTTTATTCTGGAATTTATTTACCTTCTATAATTGGAACTTTGTAGCCTTGAGTGGAGCTCAGAGCTGGCCAGGGCAGGCGGGAAGCTTGGCTTCCTCTATCACTGGGGCAACCAAGCCTCCTGCTTGCTCCAGCTCCATGGCTGCCAGCTACCATCTTGGTTGGGTTAATTTGCATACGGTCACTCTGACTGGCTGGTGGGCATGGCTTAAGGCATAATGAAGGTACAATTTGCATGTTTGTCTTTTATTAGTGTAGCTAGAACTTTCTTAATTAGACCTGATTTCTGATTTAGCTAAACTTAGGATTCCCTCAAGTCTCCTATCTACCTACTCCAGGACTTCTGTGAGGATCAAATGAGATGAGGCATGGGAAAACACTTCACAGACATTCGGTTAAACTGTAAAATGTTTGCACCTGGCTATAAAGGAAGTTGTGTTCCTGGGCTGAAGAAACTCCAAGGAGGCTAATCACTAAGGAGAGGAAGCTGGATGTTGCTATGTGATGTCTTTACCCAGCCCCACAACAACTGTTTCTGGGCTGGGCTGTAGGCCGCATTTTGCGCCATGGGGTCTCGGTAGTGATGGCTGCGATTTGGTGGGCTGTTGCTCCATGGTGGTGCAGCGTGGCCTGTGTCCCATTTGGGGGAAGCCGAGTGTTGGTTTGTTGGCAGCACCAGGTCCCTGGTGCCATTTATTTTTAAGTGGCCAGTGCACGTCATGGCAGCTCCTGCATTGAGCATCTGCCCCTGGTGGTCAGTGCACATCATAGCTACTGGTTGGATGGATGGACACTTAGCCTTTTATATATATAGATGATTACAATAAATTTTTGATAATATTCATTTTGAATTATTAGGTCAAGAGGTTTTTTCTCAAAATCTCAAGAGAACAACTTTCTTTCTGTCTTCATTTTACTAATTATAAAATAGTAGACTCAATGATACACATCTAATTCCAAGTTCTATCTTTGGGACAATTTAGAGGAACTTATAGATGAGTTAACATAACTGCTTTGAACTCCAAAACAGGCATTAGAAATCTGCAGCTAACAGTTTGGGATTTAGCAGATCTGGGTTTTACATGGTCACCACATTTACCCCCAATTGTTTTAATAGACTTTCCAGGAGCCAAATAAACTTTGAAGTAATGTCCCTCCACATCCAGTGACTTTGTATCTCCATGACTGCAAAACTTGAAAATTAGGAAACACCAAAGCAACATTACCGACAAAATAAATAGTAAAATTGAAATCTCTGGATTTACAAAGATATTGTCAAATTTCTTAATTTATTTTTAGCAAGTAAAAAATTACTCAGTGGTACCATACAAAATTAAATAATTAATTTTTTGCACCTGGTATTGCAATCACTAGTACTAACATCATAGTACAGAAATAAACTAGAGAATGAAAAAAATTGTCATTAACTTCATCTTGGTTTTCCAGCTAGGTAGAACTAAACAGAAGAAATTAATGGCAATAACTATTACCTACAGAAAACAACAACAACAACAACAAAAGGGTTTCAGGTTTAATCCCTGTTGATTTTGTTTGTATCTGCTAATGCGCTGGTCTCTATAAATAAGAATTGAGAGCACATTCTGAGTTTACTTTGGAAGAGATTTGGACATTTACATCAAATGATAAACAAGCTATTAGATCATAGCTGACTTACTGAATGGCTACCTGGAAAATATCAGTTACTATCATGGAGCACAAAACAATATAAAAGTGGGAAAAAGGCTTCTTACAGAAAAGTCCTTTTATTATTCCTTCCCTCTAAAGTTCTAAGCCATAGAACTCTGATGTTTCTGGGTTCAATTTTAAGTAACATTAATTTTAAGCATTATATTTCTAATATGCACAACTGGATAGAGTAGGATATGAGGAACCAAAAATTGCTTATTTCAAAGATAGCCATTTCCTTTAAATTCATCCTGTCCACTTCTCTCCACTTCCCAATGCACAGATTATCTATCTGTTAACCATACAATTTCACCTTCTACTCCTAAAGAAATTTATTTTCTCAACTGGATAGTACTTTTACAAAAGAATAAAATAACAAAGCTGGTTGACAGTCATTTAAAGTATTTGTAAATAAAATAAAAGTTGAGGATATAAAAATATACCTAATTGGAGTAATACTGATGTGAATTTAGTTTTATCAAAGTACCTACTAATGGTCTGAACAGGGGAGCAGAAGAAAAGCAGCTAGAGGAAAATGACTTCTGTGGGTTAAACTTGCTTTAAAATACACGGTAGTTTTAGAAAAAGAAACACTTGCTGTTTTCATTGAGTTTACAGGGTTGAGTATACTTTATGTCATTTTAATGATAGCACTTATATGAACATATGCAACAGCTCATATCAGAAAACACAAAGTTTCTGTCATCAAAGACCTAAAAAAATAAATTTTTATTTTTATTCCCTTTCTGGGAATGCAGAATAAAATAATACGTTTCTTTTTAACATAAAATATTAAATTATTTTTTTCCTGTTTATTACATTGCTGGAAAAAAAAATCCAAGACTCAACTAGTGATAATTTTTTAATTTCTAGTTTTCAACTACTTTTAAAAAACACTCCCTTCACAAAACCTTTTAGTCTTACATACTATGACAATTAGGTCTAGAGTTCCAAATAAATAAAACGGCCACATGAGAAGGCATAGTGAAGAATCAAATGATTAGCTACATCTATTCACATTCACGGATTCTCTAAGAGGGTTATCAGAGTCCATGTAATACAGTTTACATTTAGTTATCTGACCTACTGCTCATGGCTTACAACACTGATGCTATCAACAAAATCCTGATTTTTGGGAGACGGTGATATAACAAACTCTGGTTAAACTAGCAGAGGTAATAGGACAGTAAACTGCAACTATAAAACTTAAAATGTCTACTCTTCATTCACCATCTCTCCACTTCCCACTGGTGTTAAATTCAAAGTCTAATCATGAGAGGTACAGGGTGCCTGACACTATTTGTATAGAAAAACAGGCCTCAAAAAACTAAACAAATAAGAAATTCATAAAATAGGATTAAACTTTGTGGATAGTTGCATTTGTTACTTTAATTTTTTTAAATCTTTTATCTCTTCTGGCCATGGATACATATTTTTTCCTTCTATTCATCCAGAGAGGATAATACACAAATTTGTTGTAAGCATTATAAAATGGCATTCCAATTCAAAGTTGCTTGTGATCATGTCCACATAACAAGTATATACTATGCTCCAAAACGTTTTGCAATTCTTCAGTGTAGTTTCCTGATGTTATGTCCCTTAAATTAAGGTTTCCTCAAAGAGAAATCCATTAGTAATATGAGCTCATTTTGCAGCTCTGAATTAAGTCACTCTTTCTAAAATCAAAGAAGTGCTGCAGCAACTTTAAGACAACTTCTGTTAATCAGTGTCATGACTAAAGTAGTATCTTACTGGAGGTCCAGGCAAATCTTCATCTCCATCAGTGTCTGGGGCAAATGACACAGTAAGGTCCACATATTTCTTTTCAGTAGTAGGTTTCACAAGTTTATGCATTCTAAGAAAAATAACAAAAGACAAATAATTTGGTAAATTCCTAAAATGAATAATTTGCTGACTAACATTGCCCAGAGACTCGGACTTGTATCTAGACTTTAATTTCATTTTAACCCCAATAATACATCTGTTTTCATCTATTCTTTTTTTTTTTTTTAACTAAAAGCTCTAAACTCAAGACACTCATTTACCTAACAGTGAATCACTATGGACCACTGCTAGTAGTGGTAAAGAATATAAACCATTTATTCAAAAACAAAAAGTGAAACAAATTCTCCAACACACAAAAACATAAAAAACCCAAAATGCTTTTTGAAAGCAATGATTTAAGAAAACAAATTCTCCTATAACTCCTATAAAGTTTAGAGAAATCATAAATTCTTCTCATTCCTGTCTCTGTAAGGAGTAAAAAGCAAGCAATATTTAAATCTTCAAATGCAAGCTAGAAAATCACAGTAAAACACATTCTTAAGTTTCACCCTTCCCTTATATCCTCTGTTTATCCTACGTATCAAAAAAACACTTAAACAAATTGGTAGTTAAAAAATAGTCACAGGAATGTAAATTACAGCATAAAGGATCCAGTCAATAATATTGTAACAACTACCAATGGGATCAGAGGGGTACTTAAAACATGGGGGACGGGGGACCACGTTGTAAAATATGATTGTCTAACCCAGTGGTCGGCAAACTCATTAGTCAACAGAGCCAAATATCAACAGTACAACGATTGAAATTTCTTTTGAGAGCCAAATTTTTTAAACTTAAACTATATAGGTAGGTACATTGTTATTAACTTAATTAGGGTACTCCTAAGCTGGCCTTTGCTAACGTTCTCAATCTGATTGAGGTACGTTCGCTGAGGTCGACTACTTCCAACTGTCCCATTCACACTCGTCTTGTATACTTGTTTCGTCTATCTCCTTTCGTTCATCCTCTCTATATGTCCAAACAATCTCAACATACCTTTCTCAATCCTCGACACTACATCCTCTTTCACTCCACAACGTTCCCTAAAATTAACTTAATAAAGTTTCAATCGCCC